GGGAGCATGTATTGACGCTGATAACCGGGCGATCCAAGAGAGGCTGTAGTGGAACATTCAACATTGGGAGATCTGGAGTGGGGGTTCGAACGGGGGGAGGCAACGGTTCTGGCGGGGCAGTCGATGGTTGTTGATGTGGCAATTGGTCGGGGGCAGGCCAGGGGATTTCAACAATGAGTGGAGAGGGAGAAGACGAGAGTTTTGCACCGTATGGAAATTGAGAGTGATCGAACAATACATCACGGGTCTTGACGGCTACTCGTTTCTCCAAATCCCACACGCGGTAGCCATTTCCGTCCGGTAGATAGGAGAGGAGAATTGAGGCCCTGCCTTTGTGATTGAGCTTCTTGTTGGTCTCATCAGGGATTTTGAACCATGTAAGGCAACCAAAAGGGTGAAGGAGTCGAAAAGGGGGATCCAGATGCTTCAAGATTGAGTTTGGGGATTTGAAGCCTTGTGGGATGTGGCACGGGACTGAGTTGAACAGGAAGAATGCATGACGGAGTGCATCAACCCAGAAAGACTTCGGCAGTTAGCACTCAGAAGTGACATCGGACAGATGCTTATGTACGATGTCTGTCCGCACACCGTCAGCTCGGGAGTAGGAGTCCTGGTCCTGTCGGATACCAGCCTCCTTGAGGTAGTTTCCAAAGTGCAGTCGAGAGGTATTCTCCTCTGTTGTCCGTCCTCAGGGCGCGGATGACATGGGAGCCATCTTTCTCAAAAAATGCACGAAAAATTTTGAAACAGGAGAAAGCCTCGGATTTGAATTTCATAGGGAAGACGGATACATGTTTCGAGCAGTCATCAACAAAGGTAATGAAGTAAGAATAGCCTTCACAAGACTTAACCTCATAGGACCCTACGTCTGAGTGGATGATTTCCCCTGGCGTGGCACTGCGGTAGGAGAAACAGGATTTGAATGCCGTCCTGTGCATTTTTGACTGTATGCAGACCGGACATTTTTGTACGTCGACTTCGTTCATGATTGTTGGGGTGATGCCTTTTGACCGCAAGAGTGATTTCAGTGCCTTCAGACCTATGTGGGAAAATTGGCGGTGATAACCCAGGAGTGTAAGATCATCAATGTTTGAAGCATTGGCGGAAAAAGAGAATGATGGAGGCCTCACAGGAGACGAAGTGAGATAGTATAGGTTACCCCTACGGTATCCTCGTCCAACAGACTTCCCTGGAGTGCCGTCACCGTCGGCCAAACGGATGTCGCATCCAGATTTGGTGAAGATCACTGATAATCCCTCGTCACACAGACCAGCGACTGACAGGAGAGGTTCGTGCAGAGATGGTACAACCAGGGTCTTGACTTTGACTTCAGTCTCGAGGGGAAGACGAGAGAACCCCTTGTGGGAGGCTTCAATGGAGGAGTGGTCGGCGAGGCGGATGGGGGTGGTGTCTGGCTTGGCATTTGTGACAGCAGAGATATCCGGGGTCATAGAGATGGAACAGCCGGAATCAAGGTTTGCATCGCCTGTGGTTCGGTGATCAACCATGGACAATAAGGAGGTGGCTGCTAGTCCAGCGGTCACTTCAAATTCCGAGCCAGAGAAGTCGTCCACGTCATTGCCTTCAGATTCTGAGTTACCCAGTCGAGCAGCAGACGTGCGGCCTGCTTTCGCCTTGTATCTAGGGTTTGATCTAGGCTGACGGCCTCGGGAGGAGGGAGGGTTTGCACTGAGGCTACCGGACGGTGCTGAGCTCTTGTCCTTGCCTGTGGAGTTGCGATCTTCAATGTAGCGGGCGAGTTTGTGGCAGTAGTTGAGGTCGTGGCCATCGTTGCCGCAGTAGGAGCAGTGACGATTTGTCCAACGCTGCCTGTTTGACGAGGGGGCATTGATTCTTGACACCGACTCAGGGGCTTGGAGATCCTCAACACGGGCTTTGCGACGCAAACCCTCTTGCTTGAGAGCAGCCACAACCTTGTGCGAAGGGAGGTGTGGTTCGTTGAGTAGAGACGAGACACACGGCATCCAATCCGCGGAGAGCGAGGTGATGATCGAGGACGCATAGAAATCGTCGACGGTGAGTGGATGAGTTGGATCTGATAGGGCCTCCAGTCGTTCGAAGACCTTTGCCATCTCCTCAATGTGGGTGTCGATATCGTCGTTTTCCATGCGGAACATGGCCAGTTTGCGAAGCCAGTACATGACCCCGCCTGACAACGAATCCTGGTGTGCAGATCGCAGGCCGTTCCACATCTTTCGGGCGTCTTTGTTGAACTGACGGACGACGCGAATGTTTGCAGAGTCGATCGTCTGGGAGATGACACTGCATATCGCCTTGTTGTCCCGAACAAAGGTGGGCTTTGATTTGGGACTCGTTTCCTTGGGATCGAGGATGTAGGTGACACCGGTCGAGTCGAAATGGATATCCAGGACCCAGCTCCAATCTAGATAATTGGAGTCTGGGCCTGGGGGCTTCAGTTTTTCGATCGATGTGATCTTGAGGGTCGGATGACCGGTTAAGTCGGAGGACATGCCGGTTGAAAGATGAGGAGGGGGATCGAGGCCCTTAGTTGATGATGACGGTTTAGATGTCTTTTTGTTTGATTTGAGTGTTTTATCACTCGGAGTCGACATGTGTGAGGAAGGTGGGGAGATCGGAAGCAAAAGAGAAAAAAAATTGATCGGAAACGAGCGGGTGAGAGCCAACCAAGCGCTGAAGAGATCGAGTCGATGGCTTTTAACAAAAAGCAAACGAGGTGGATGGCTTTTAAAGGAAAGCAAGCGAAGTCGGAGGCTTTAACAAGAGCGGAAGATAGGATGCTTTAACGAAAGCGGATGATGGGAGGCTTTAACGAAAGCGGACGATAATGTGGACGAAGTCGATAGCTTTAGCGAAAGCGGACGATGTTGCGGAAGAGAGCTTTAACGACAGTGAACGAAATTGGCAGTGATAGCTTTAACAAAAGCGGACGGAAAAAAAAAGATGATTGATGGCTTTGTCGACAAGCCTACGGATCCTTCAAAAAAAAATATCGCAGTTTATTGCGCGATGGGAATCATAACCTGTTGCGGCCAACTGGGTCCAGCAGAGATGGGTGAATGGAAGGATGAGATTTCATCAGAGAATGAAAACATACTGAGAGAAAGAAAAAGAGAAAAGAAACAACAAAACAAAAGGACTTACCTGGGTCCAGCAGAGATGGGTGAATGGAAGGATGAGGAAACCATTCATCCACCTTGCTGGCCCAAGGTAACTACACAGACAGGTGTCACGGACTGTGACATGAGAGAAACAGGGAGGAAGCAGACTAAGAAAGACAGCTCACTCAACAGAAACAAGCAAGTTTCACGGATTGAGTCAAGTTTGAGGGTGCCTAGAAATGTTAACCATCCAGTGGCAGCGAAAGGGGGGAGGTACCTTTGGGAAGGACTATTTTTTAGAGGGGTTGCAAATACTGGGAGTGGGTACTTGGTATTGGAGGGGGTGAATATAACACGGTGTAAGACGTAACTGTGAAAGATACTTGGCGGTCATGTGAAGAGGGATTGATGCATGTATAGACGCCATAGTGAATACAGGAAGGAGGGGGAAGCAAAATATCAACATGATTGAACCAAGTTTTATAGGGAGCAGGTAGGATGATCATTGAAGAGGATGAGAAAGGGGCAGCAGGGGAAAACAGATATGGAAATTTTTGAGAAGTCAAGCAGAGAATAGAGGTATTGGGTTTATAGGAGATGGATTGGACTTGGCATCGATGACTGCACGATTAGTAAAATGATACAACATGTTACTCAAAGTCCACCGTGCGCGATTTGGTTGGGGGAAATCATTTCAAGGATGAGGTAAGTATTGAATAGGGATATTGAATTGCAATGAGAATAGGTGGCATAAGAAAGGCAATTTTATGAGAAAAGGCAGTTACAATGATTATGGAGATCTCCAACAGAAAAGAGGAAGAGTGGGGCAATAACGGGTTGACTGGGACCTGGGGTGGAGGAGTCTGGAAAAAGGAAAAAGATTGAGGAGGCTGTTGAATGTCACCCATTTACGGGTTGTTTGGGGGAATTCCTCGTTGTCCGCATAAAGAAAGGCAATTTTATCGAAAAAGGCAATTACAATAATTATGGAGATCTCCAAAAGAGAAGGGAGAGTAGGCCAAGAAAAGGTCGATTGGGACCTGGGGTGGAGGAGTCTGGAAAAAGGAATAGGATTGAAGATGTTGCTCAATGTCCCCCATTTGCGGGTTGTTTGGGAGGATTACTCAATGTCCGTCATGCACGGGTTGTTTGGAGGAATTACTTTTTAGGATGGGATGAGTATTGAAAATCGGGTCTCGAAATGTAATGACAATTATACAAGGAAAAGGTGCAGGTGATGGGGGATAATTCTGTTTCCGCGAGGGAAGAATGATAGTAAATGGAAAAGGGCATCTGAAGGCGTAGGATTGGTGTGTGGGTAGTAATAAAATCTAAAGGGGCAAGGTTAGGACTTGAGTTGAGATGATGGAAAAGGAATTCAATTGTTAGGGGGAATAGGAAATGCTTTAGGTTAGGTTCCGGGTTGTATTAAGGTGTGAGATGGGACAAAGAAGAATACTTGAGTATAAGAGGAGCCCTACTGTAAAGGATTAACCGCCATCATATGATTCTGTTGGAATGGGGAACCCCGTATGTAGTAGCTGTATGCTTATACTTAGATATGCTTCTAACAAGCAGCCAACTGTTATTCTCTACCGGTCTCTCACTGTCTCCTTCCTCTCCTTTTTACTCACTGAATAATATATATACATTCACAGTCAGGTCCCTTTGTGAGTCTCCTGTAGCTTCTTTTGTTTCAGTCACCTGGGTGCCCCTCAACAGGTTATGAGGCCCTTCTGGTCTCGCTCATCACTTATTCCATTTTCATTCTCACTCCTCCTGGACTCTGTGCCGTTTTCGCCGCTGGATCTTCACTCGACTTTCTACTCGATTAGAATCAAGTCTTTTCTTTTACACTGTCTATTGATCATCTCAGCTTATTTGAACCGTCGATACACCATGACATCCGTTAGACAAGTTCAAAACGTGGCCAACCTTATTTCATCAATACAAGTCTTGGACGGTACGGAGTCGGTCTTCCCTACTTGGCGATCTCGCCTTGACGATGTTCTCGGTTTTCAGAACACCCTCGACATCGTAAAGGGGACCCTTACTCGTCCCAAGGAGCCTTCAAAGACTGAAACCGTTTCGGCTCGTTCTGTGGAATACACTAAGGGTTACAATCCTGGCGAACTTACTGCGGATTGGGATGCTCTATCGGACCTAGCTTGCTATACGATTCGTCTGACGCTGTCAAATCCTCTAGCTCAACGATATCGGAAGGTGAAGCCTGCTTCTCGGCTCTACTCAACGATCGTCAACGCATACGAGAAAAACACTCGGGCTCGCCAAATGCGCCTTCAAGAGGCTTTCTGGAACGCTAGACACAATCCAAACGAAGTCATTGCGTTGTGGATCGGTCAAGTTCGAGTTGCCGCGGACGATTTGCTTTCCATTGAGGAACTTCCGACTGATCGTCAAATCGCAGATAGACTTGTCGGTGGTCTCGATCCCTCCTGGTCTAACGTACGCGACTCCATCGTCTACACAGCTACGGAGATGTCGCTTGACGACGTCATAGGAGCGCTGGAGGCCCATGAAGTCAGTTTGAATGGTACTAAGACGAACGACATGGTCTCCGCCGCTGCTGCCACCGCCAAGCGTTTCGGGTGCTCTCACTGTGGGAAACGCGGCCATCGTTCCTCCGATTGCTATCAATTGAAAAACAAGGGCAAAGCCAAGGCTGGGGCTGTCACGACGGTCAAGTTAGGCGGTTACGAATCAGGTTCTTTCGACGATGACGATGAAATCGGTGTAATCTATGAGTAACTGAATTAAATTAGCTATAATTTTTTTTTCTCAGTACGCTAGAACTGTCTTAGCCTACTATATGGTCATTCCACTACTATTAGTATCTTTTTACTTCTTAGCAGTACAATTTCCATTTTTTTTTATCCCAATTTTTTTTTGCTCCACTTAATCTTATGCTGAATTTATAGCTTGTTATCAGCAAGGGGGGATGTTGGAATGGGGAACCCCGTATGTAGTAGCTGTATGCTTATACTTAGATATGCTTCTAACAAGCAGCCAACTGTTATTCTCTACCGGTCTCTCACTGTCTCCTTCCTCTCCTTTTTACTCACTGAATAATATATATACATTCACAGTCAGGTCCCTTTGTGAGTCTCCTGTAGCTTCTTTTGTTTCAGTCACCTGGGTGCCCCTCAACAGATTCTTGTTCGGAGGCATCACTTAGAATCATACGATCCCGGGAACATACCCAAGGACAAGAAGACATTTTTTTAAGGTGGAGGCGGTTTGCTTAATACTAAACTGTTACTATAATTGTCAAAACAACCTAAAGAGTGGCCGTAAAAAACAAAAAGAATCATCTTTGGATTGCAGTTGACCTCAACCTCACACCACTCCTTTATAATCGACACACCAGAGTAGGCTGGTCATGGCCTCATAGTCAAACTGTCAACTCTTGGCTTCATACATACTCCACGCACCTACCTGCTAGTCGCAAGTTCGAAACTCCATCCAAAAAACAAACCAATTGCCATATTGCCATTAACCAAGATGTTTCATCGGCGCTTCTTTACCCTCGTCATCACCAGCCTGCTAATTGCCAGCATCACAGCTCCCCTCTCTCGGGAGGAGTCGGAGTACTGGTGTGGAAAATGTGGGAATATGTTGACTATTACATGGTGTGGGCTCGGTGGCAAAGAACCATGCCCGGTCCCACTGCTAGGTGAATGCGCCATGCAAATTGATCATGACGGACACAAATTACCGTCCTCAACCTGCTGCGGGAGTTTCTTCCAACGATCCCACATGTCAAATGTCCCCCATAACCATGGCCCAAGTCAGGAAAGTCAAAAACCCCACTCCCAGAAACCAGGGTCATCTCACACTGCTCAATGAGGCACCCACATCCAACTTGTCCCTCAACTTCATAGATTGGTCATCTAACAGCTAAATAAATTGACTAGCTGGGCAATACTTTTTTGGGTGTTTTGAAAAATTGACTCCCAAAATTGGTAGGACACCTCCCAAAATTGATTAAGGGACATCAAGAGGATTGGAGGACTTCCTGTAGCCATTTAAGATGCTTCTAGACCTCTCTCAGTCCTAAATCAATACTACAATTGAGATATTCAAGTAGCTCACATGAGAGCTATTGCTAGAAGACTTGAGTCAAAACCTTTGAAAGCAGAATAAATGGATTTCTCTTAGGATTGCCCAAATGTCCATCTTATGTACTGTCAAAAATGGAAAATTTGAAGGAATATCAGTGGCTTATGATGGTCTGGTCAAAATTGTAGAGCCTCTAACCAAGCAATAGCATAGGTAAATCTCAAATTTACTGATTTATATTTGTGAGCAATAGAATGTAAAACTAGATGTTTTTCCCTTGATAATTGATAGTTGAAAAGAAAATGAAGGCGAGTCTGTTCACTTGTTTTATGATCTGGATAAATCTACAAAATAGGGGGTATCAAATATAAGAAATCCACCATTAGAAACCAGTCAGTTATCCAAAAAAAAAATTCACCAATGGGTCCCCAAAGGGGCAAGATAAAGAACCAGCATGTTTGAAAAATGGTGGGTTTTTCGATCTGGAATCCAAAATAAGCAGCCACTTTTCACTGTCTACCCACTGTACAAGCCTCAAAGGCCGGGTGGAATCCCTCCCATCCTCCAAGGTTGTGGGGTCTCAAAGGCCAGGAGGCTCCCAGTCTTTGAGACTGTCCAAGCCTCAAAGACTGGGAGGAAACCTCCTGGTTTTCAAGGCCTGGTGGTACCCATAGCCGTACCTGGGTACCACATGCCTTTATGCCCAAAGACAGACACCCAGCACCACCTGGCAGGGGCAGGCAGTACCTGCCAAGTTCTTCCCAGTACCTAGCAACAGGTACCAACAAACAATCTCTACAATGGGGGGGGGGGGATAATTGCCATTCTTACATTTGACATGATGGCTGGATTGATGGGGACTGAATGAATACTATAAATTAGTTCAAATTCAAATGGTCAATACTAGTCTGTTGAATCAGGAAGACCTTTCTCTTAATTTACATGTAGATGTTCAAGCTCCACAAATCCTGTTTCATGAAAAATCTACATCAATAGTGACTAGAAAGAATGATAAGAAGTATTTATTTTTACCATCATCATCATTTTACTGGCCTTTTTCAAATAAACAGAAGAGATGATCAAGTATCACCATGAATATCCCACAACATTATGAGGTGTCTTGCCAAGATAGCTCCAAATGAGAATATTCAGAAGTTCAAAAAAGATTTTAAACTTCCAAGAATATTGGAAAAAGTGAAAGAAAAATTACAAGAGTCTGAATTCAAATGTCTGGAAATTTATATGGAAATGACACAGTGGAAATTGAAAGTAGCTATCTTTATGCAAAAATGAAACAGAAGAGAAGTCTCTATTTGTGAGAATACATATAGACACACAAACAGAAATCAAAGAAATAGGATTCATACTGATCTGGGATTTCATGTATTTTTGATTGGTTCTTTGTCCTGGCAATCATTGTCCATGATTATTACGAGACCAAGAGAATTTTTTTTCTTTTGAATGGAATTTTTTCCATTTATATCAAATCAAATCAATCCAAAACCATCAATTCACCATCAAAATTTTTGAAGACTTAGCAATTTATAAACTCACTTGAATCCAATCCGCTCTGCAGCACTTGTTTGATTGTTCCTTGATCCCTTTGCAATTATAATTATCATGTATTTTAGGTCCAACTTGATTTGCCTTAGTGACTGTCAATCCGATTGTTCAAATCAATAATTGGATGCCAAAAGTCAGATCAAATCAAACTTAAGGTGACTTTACAAGAAATTCTTATTTTTCCATCATTTGTTACGTTTTGGCAGGCAAACTTACCGGTACATACTTTAGTTGTAGAGGAATCCATATCATGATCAATACCACTCAGTTTGACGCACCACCCGACTTTGAATTCCTTTTTTGCGTCAAAATGTTGAGGAATAATTAGCAACTCCAGCTGTGGGAGTTGATGGGTGGTCAAAGTGCGCGTGGAGGTTGAGTTGTTGTCTACATTTCAAATGATTACATAATCAGAGTCAAGCCAGGTTCAGTCGAACAGTGGCACAAATGGTCTAGTCTTTTCTTCTTTTTCAATCAATCTCGTCAAGACTTCAAGAACCAAGACACGTTTTTCATCAAGGTCAAGAAGTCAAGAAGTTGATAAGGTATTCACACATTCATCTCAAACACTGCGATCATAACACTTATCGACGATAATCATTCAGATACACAGACTCAAATCACAAACCACACCAATCCAGGAGGAGCAATCATCATTCGAATTCAAGGAGCTTTTGTTCGTTTGTTGTCTCTTTCTTTTGTTTATTTTTGTTCTTGATCATTATCATGTTAACTAAAATATCTTTTGGTGTTAGTTCGTTGTTCAAGTCATAGTTGTTATCTTCAAACAATCATCGTACTGTTTAGTCATCGTTATTGTTGTTCTCAGAGGATGTTGGTATTTTCTTTATTGATGACTGTGACTCTTATCATTTGATGCTTAAATGTGGTTCTGGTTATTTGATTCTCTTTATTGTTTCTCTTGTTAGTTTTTCTACTACTACTGGCTGTTTGAAACAATTTGCAATAAAGAGAACTCTTCGTGCTCACACAAAACAAGTGAAGGTAGTCTGTGGATCTATGATGGGGGTAGGAGAGGAGGCAGCCCAAGCCCCAAGGGGGCTTACGCAGGAGACGACAAATAGTGATTTGAGGAATCGCATTGAGGATGACCGATAAATCAATCTGTGTAGAGTTGAAATCTTATGGACTGTGTAGGTATTCCTGTAAACTCTTTGAAGAACTCGTAAGAAAAACTCCAAGAGGAAGAAAAAACCGCGTGTTTGAAACAAATGGGGTATAGTGTGATCCTATATTGGATTGGCAAGAAAAAGCTTCATATATATAGGCATGGATGGTGTCCTCAACAGCCCACTGTGAGTGATATAAGAGTGCTGACATCGCGACCAACATGTGCGCACCTCGACATGATTGAGACCGAGCTCGACTTGAAAAGTCGACCGGTACCGGTTCCTTATCCTCCTTGTTTGATGCTACAAGTGGCAGCGACGACCGTTGTCAAATCGATTGCTCTTGAACAGGAATTCTCCACCTTTGAGCTGACACTACATCCCCCAATGACTCGGCGACAGAAAGCAGTACATAACATCTTACTTAACGTCGGGTATGACCAAGACAAGCAATCCCTTTGTTTCTCGTGATTCCCCCCCCCCCCCCCTCGAAGTTGAAGGCAAAGAGAGACTCGTTGATGGGTTTGGATATCATAAAATCATAATCACTCGATCCCAACTGGTGGCTCGGGTTGATGCCCAGATTTGCTTGCAGAGCACAACCATCAGACCTAGCATGAGATGATCTGTGTAACGTCTTCTTTAAGCACCAACCCCATCATTGTCCTAGCTCCTAAGCATCATCACCCGATATGAATGTCTCTCTTGTTCAGCCAAAAGATCTGCTTGTGTCCAAAGGCAACAAGCTTACATGGAAGTGGCGAGATATAGAAGTCCAGACTCAAGTTAGTATTACTGAAGGAAGACTAACTCTAACAGGACTCTAGTATCAGATATAAACCTATTTTTAATACACATTTACTTATCTGAAGCTCCAGTTTTCTTCAAAGAAATATGCAGAAATTGATAAGCCTCTTAAACGGTGCTAAACATTCAGTAGTGTGTGAGTGATTGGGTCATATTAAGGGTGGAGAAAGAGCCAAAAAAAACTGGGCTGATTCAATACTCTTACATGAAAACATCCACCCAGGTATTTTGGAGGATAGAATTTTTTCTGTGTCATAGCCATCTTTTATGCTTGGGTTACAAAAGTGGTTGAGGAATTAGTTGACTTGTATAAATGACTCATTCATTTATGTGACAAGTTTTGATCTGAAAAACCTATTCCATCATTGATTCCAAGAATAGAACAAGAAATCCAATCTTCTGATTCTATCTGTAATTAAAATGAAATTTATATTAATTGCAGGAGAAAAAAGTACCCATTGTTGTGATCCAACAGCCGATACATAGTGCCAGATGAATGTAAAAAAGATTCTTGTCCCTTTTTTTTTATAAAGTTTGGTTGAGTTGGTTGAGTTTGAAGAGTATGAAGACAGGATCTCATTGTCTCCTTATCAATGGGAGGAATAATTGCCATTCTTACATTTGATGTGATGGCTGGATACATGGGGAGAAAATGAAAACTATGAATCAGTACAAATTGAAATGGCCAAGATCAGTTTGTTTAATTAGGAAAGCCTTTCTGTTGATGTTCAAGCTCGATGAATTCTGTTGCATGATAAATCTACATCAATAGCCACTACACGAATTACAAGTAGAACAATAAGCAGTGTTTGATTTCACCATCTTTACCATCTTTTACAGCTAGCCTTTTTGTTTTCAAATAAACAGAAGAGATGATCTTGTATCACCATGAATATCCCACAACATTATTAGATGTCTCACTGAGATAGTCCCAAAGGAGATTATTCAGAATTTCAAAAAAAGATTTGGCACTTCCAAGAATATGTGGAGAAAGTGAAAGAAAAATTACAAGAGTCTATGAGTCTAAAAGTTTGGAAAATTTACAAGGAAATGAGATATTGGAAATTGAAAGTAGCTATTTCTATGCAACAACAACACCAAAAAAACAGAAGTGGATTCTCTCTTTATGAGAATCCATACACACAAACACGATTCTTACTGATTGGGGAATCCAGGTCTTTTTGACTGGTCCTTTGTCCTGGCAATGAGATGATCACAAAACCAGCCTCATTTTTTTTTCTTTCTTTTTTTCTTTCAAATCGAACCAATTTTGAGTTTTGGTTTTTTTTAGATATATTTAAATCAGATCGATCGGGCATCGAAGGAACTATGGATGCAGCAGGAATGATCACTCACTTGGATCCAATCGGCTGATCTGCAACACTTTGTGGATTGTTCCTTTTGATCGGATTGCAATTCTAATTACTGTGTATTTTGGCGCCGACTTGATTGGCCTTAATTATTGACTGCGAATGCCCCCGGTCCAAATTACCGATTATTATTTGGTGGAAGGTCAGCTCGAAACAAGATCCGACATATGTAGTCATGCGATGTGCTGCATCAACCAGGAAGGAAGAAAGACGTACACCGGTATATGCCAGGGTGACAGAGCCATCGGGATTGTCCATGGTCACACGCAGACTGACGCACCACCCAACGTTGAATCCCTTTTTGGCGTCGAAACAGGTGAACGTTGTTCCGGGGATCTATGATCGGGACAGTCCTACTTGCTGGAGAGGAGCCCGTCATTACGACAAGCTCGGGCTTGCAAAAAAAAACAACGCGCTTGAGGAGCTGCATTGCTTTTTTCGAGTGAACCAATAAATCAGCCGATTTTTCTGAACTTGAATGGCTTTGTGGATTACTATCTACTCTAGTTAAGTGAGCTGATAAATCAATCGATTTGTCTGGACTTGAACGGCGATTGTGGACCCGACTACTTAGGTCTACTCTAGTAAAGTGAACCAACAAATCGATCGAATTGCCTGAACTTGCACGTTATGGCGGACTATACTGTCTCAACTCTTTAGTATTTAAATTTGGTCAACGTTTTTGGGGGGTATGTATATTGTTTTATAGATTCTTAATTAAGGGACTTGAAAGAAAAAAAAAAAAAAAACACGCCAGGGGGCAAGAAGAGACGCGTGTGAAGCAAATCTTGTGATCCTACAATGGAATGAGCAGAGAAGGGCGAGTCGATGGCATGGGAGGGAGGTGTGTGTCCTGAACAGTGGCCAGAGAGCAATGCAGTGACGGCCCCAGAAAGAATGTGCGATTATTAAGATGACTGCAGTTCATGAAGGGCCCTTGAAGTGCCGACCATTCATGTTGCTACATACAATGTACGCCTTCCAGCATGATCAAACCAGGAGGACTAGAGGATACACAAGAAGGGAACCGGGACTGGTCGACGAGCTCGGTCTCACAATCTACTGATCGAGGCCCCGGTCACGATATCAACAGTCTTATGATTAAACCCCCCACCCCCACTGACTCGACGAGGGGGAGAGCAAGTATAACAACTTGGTATCCTACTTGGTCCCCGGTCTGACCAACAAGCTCTACCATCTTCAATCCTCGCGACTGTTTTTTTTTTTTTTTTCTTCCTTTTCGCTATAAAAGTTATACAAAGGAAGAGAGAGACAGGGGGGGTTACTGATGTGAATGAACAATCTTAAGAATATATTTCTAATGTAAGTATCATGATACGATAACAAGATACAATAAGAAATATATGAAACAAAAAAGACTCCTAACCTTAAGGCAAACAACAAGAGAGCGATGAAGAAGGAAAAACAGCAGAGAGAGTAACACAATACAAAAGAAGACTGAGATACAATGAAGAGAGCTGTTGTTAATGTCTTGATCAGTTTTGAGAGAGAAATGTCAAGTCTGAGAACCTGCGATGGTGTAATTGACCTAGTGCGATTTGAAGGATTCGGCGGGAAGTCGAGAAGGAAGGGAAGTACAGGTCAAGGGTCGGCGAGTGGTCGATATGGAAGGGAATGTACTTGAGTGAGATAGAAATGAAGAGTCGCGTTTGACAGGAATAAGAAGACACAAGATCGAGAAGAGTTTCTCGATAAGATATGATGATGAGTAGTGTCAGGTGGAGGAACAGGAGTGAAGCTACGATGTAGAAAAGATAAGGTTGTAGATGACAACCCAGAAAGTTCCCCGACTAAAAGATCAGGAGGGAGGAAAGTGTACCTATCTTATATCCTTGAGAATCCGAATGAAGATGATGGGTTTTGCTGTGTGTTTGGACGGGGCTCGAGCCAGATGACATCACATGATGTCATAGGTTTGAGCGTGTTGTCAGAGGGTTATGAGGTTAGAGGGATCGTAAGTTGAGCACGATTGTGTTCAGACTTCAACAACTGAGGTGGGTGGGGAAGTGCCAGGTACTCTAGCTTCAGCCCGCGCGGGCCGCTGGTTTAACAAAGACAGCCTTATACACTTGGTCTGTGGCACTTTGCGGGGAGAACGCTCGGCGGATGAGAACGGCAGCCCAGCCGGGTACTACATTGACTAGACAGATCACACCATTGCAGGCCCAGCTATTGGATGATGATGACGATCAATATGTGTTCCGTCGAAGCGTCGCTTAATGGGATCCACAATTCCTTATAGGGATGTGAAGAAGGCCTTGCTTTGATGGCAAATCCGAAGAAAAAAAAAACAACATCCGCGCCAACAAGCATGGAGAGAGTGGGCTTGCGCCGATTTGAGCCGACACAAGTCGTGATGATTGCATGTTTGTCTGGTATTGTGTTTTGAAAAAAGCTTGGATTTTTTTGCTTTTCTGAAATTCTAAAGTATGCACTTGTGATGCATATCACAAGTTTAATCCTGTTGTTTCTGCCCAACACAACAGTGATATGATGTGACAACCAATGATCATCTAAATATATCCCCGAACAAACCATCTCACATTTTCTTCCAACCAGCACTATCCTCACCTCCCCTTCTTCTCATCAATCCCTTTCTTCAACACCAACCACCAATGGTTTACCGATTCCACGCCCCGGCAACCAAAATCGCCGTCGTCCGAATGGCCAAGCAAGGTCTTTCCGCTGCACTCATCAAGAACATGCTTGGTGTTCGATTCTCACAACAATCTTTCCACCGATGGAACCAACTCTACGAAGAAACCCGCTGCATCATCAGAGATCCAGATACCTATGAGGCACGTGGACGACCTGCTAGCCTCACACAAGATGAGTCAACTTTCATGATCCAGCTTGTCCGATCAGAGCCTGGCCTCTTCCTGGACGAAATTCGAGAGCAATTGTATGATGCCTCTGGCGTCCTCCTTAGTATTACTGGTGTTCACAGGACCCTTGTCGAGCGTTTATCCATCACCTTAAAAAAACCAGACACAAAGAACATCCGAAAATCACTTACTGCCAAGTAAGCATATGTTGAACGAATGGAGTTCTTCCCTGCTGATTTTCTTGTATTTACCGGTGAGTTTTCAAGCATTGTATCAATTGTTAACATCAGCTGATGCATCTGTGTTTTTGCTTTCTTCAGATGAAAGCTCGTTCACTGACAAGGATCTGTTGCGATCGTTTGCGAGGTCAAAGAAAGGGACCCCCTCCAAAAGATTCCTCACCAACCAGAATGCAGAGAGATTGAGCTTACTTCCGGCCATCTCACTTGATGGAATGCTGGCCCTCACCACTACTTTGGCGACCTTCGTCGGTCGCAAGTTTGAGCACTTTTTAGAATTTGACTTGGTGGGTTTCTTATTTTTCAAGTCTTCCTGGGGTTTTTGGAACTGACTTTCTTCTCTTTAGCTCCCTCGAATGAATAGGTACCCTGACTCCAATTCTGTCCTTGTTTGCGACAACGCTACCACTCATCGAGGTGACCGTGTCAGAGAGCTTTGCAACGCAGCTGGGGTACAACTCCTTTACCTTCCACCCTACTGTCCGGAATTGAACCCAATCGAGCTCTGCTTCGCTGCAATCAAGCAAAATCTACGGGCCACACAAATTTTGAATCGAACTAACGACCTCGAATGGGAGATCCGCCGAGTTGCGGCTGAAATCATGACGGCAGAGTTTTGCTTCAAGCTCTACCGTCATTGCGGATACTGTGTCCCTGAAAACTGACTTGGACATTGCTAGATCCCTTGCTACAATCTTTCCTTTCTCTTCGATCACTGTATAACGATCACTCGGATAACGATCACTGTATAACGGATTAGCAACTGTTTCTTTCACCTTTCTTTCCTCACTGTAAAACTCTATCAGTATCAACAAGATTATTTTTTCTCTTTTCACGTTCAAACACTGCCTCATCAATGATATTACACTACGGACATGCCAATTCTAACACTATTTTCTACTACTTGAAACAAAACCCAACTAGCCACACCATCCCCCCTGGTTTATGTTTATGATCGCGCTGGCATGCCTTACACCCTCCTAGTGATTGGCACAGGTTGTGATGCTCCAACGACCGCGGAGAAAGGTCACCGGAAATCACGGAAATCTTGTTCTTCTCAAGTTGATCGACTCGAATGTCTCAGAGACTTAGAATACAATGTCCTTTTGAATGCCAGTATGACATTGCTCCAAACTCTCCCCTTTTCTTGGCAAGTCACCACCTGGGGGCCGTCCTGTAAAGCTGGCTCACTTATCGATCGGCGTCCATCTGAGAGACTTATCGATCACGATTTCATAAAGAAGCAAAACTCCTCCAAACGAATTCAATACAAGCGAGAGATATTGAGTCTTGGTATTGTGGGTTTTCGGATGATATCATGGAAATCTTGATCGAGCACCATGACGAACTCTTTGATGGACGCCTCAGATCTCTCCTAGTCCGTCCTCGTCCAGCCTCAAACGGAGCCGATCCCAACAGAGCGTGAGCCGGAACCGGACGATCTCGCCCTCGGCACGCAAGTCACTCGAGGCGGTCCGCTACGGAAGCTACTCGATCTCGGGCTCGCCTCAGATCTCTCCTAGTCCGTCCCAGTCCCGTTCCCAAGACGTGATCGAAATCATTTCCTTAGCCGATCAGGTGTCTTCTGATACATCCGCCACTCAACCTGATGGCTTGGATGCGGCCGAGTTCGTTATCGCAGTTGAAAAGTGTATCAGCGGCCGAGTCCGTTATCTGTTTTTTATCGTAGAGGAAAAGTGTATCAGCGGCCAAGTCTGTTATCTTTCAGCTAAGGCATCGACAGCGACAGCGGTCTCGTTCAAAATTGCACCAATGTTTACTTGAACGTTAGAAAGGTCAGTCAAATTGGCCGAGGTAGCGTTGCGACATAAAGAGAAAGAAGAGGGCGGAAGGACAGACCGTTATCGTAGTGGAAAAGCGTAGATAAGCCGTGACAGCGGCCTCGTTCCAAAGATTCAGATACTAAACCAGCAACCCACTGTTGTTGTAGCCATTTGGGTCGACGAGAACCTCGGGAATGGTAACTTTACAGCCCCGTTGATCAAAGCGGTCTATGGGTTTGTCTATGGACTGTTGATGAATCCGGTTTGCGCGATGATTGTGATGGTTTCTGAGGATTCGGTGCGGGCTCATCGGGAGGAACGGCAACAGGCGAGATTCAAGAACCCGGAGAAGGAGGCCATGAAGACGACGGCAGCGGAGCGAGTGGCGGCCGTTGATCCTTCGGTTCTGAGGATTCGGTGCGGGCTCATCGGGCGGAACGGCAACAGGCGAGATTCAAGAACCCGGAGAAGGAGGCCATGAAGACGACGGCAGCGGAGCGAGTGGCGGCCGTTGATCCTTCAAAAGCCATGAGCCCTCCGGCCCAAGACGCCAAGCCTTCGATGGCCCAGATCTTGAACAACCCCCCTCAACGTGTCCAAAGTCTAAACTTATCCTGGCCTCCTGGTCTACTTAACGGGCACGTAGAATGGGCTAACCATACAATCATCTGGATCGACGCTTTAAGTCTCATTGAAGAATCTAAGAGAAGGGCCGCCGGATTGAGCACTCAGGAAGATGGCCAAGTCACTCGATTCGTGAAGGAATTAGCTGGAGGTCAGAATTTGCATATTAAATTCAGCTTAGACGAAGACGAAAACAACATTTAAAGCGAATCGATGTCATACAGAATTCTAATAAAGACAGCAATCTATTGAATGAGAAAATGGACTTAACTGTGCAATGATGCCAGGAGTTAAGCCCCAGTGGCTCATATCCTCTCGAGTGATGCTGTTCGATTGAAAGAATTTCGGATTGGTGACATCCTTCTCGTTGAGGATTCTCAGGACCTCCTCTTTCTTAGTCGGTTTGATTTTGACAAAGTCAACATACTCTGCCATGAGGTTTTCGTCTGGTTCCACTACGGAGGAGTTGTCCGATTCCGATTCCTGAGTGCGTGATGAACTTTGGTAAGTTGGAGGACTGGCATCATTGACGGTGCTGTGAGATAGCTTTCTCTTCTTGTAGGCAGAGAGTTTTTCAAACTTGAGTTCTGGTGGGGGTGAATGAAGAGTAACCCCATCGACAGATTGCATCTAAATGATTCAAGTCAGCTTTGTATTTAATTTGGTATGGCATCTTTTTATAGGAGGGCACTCACAATAGCATGTGCCCAAATTTGGACATTCTTCCCAGTCAAGGGGATGTACTGGCTGTGCTCCGTCGGATGGATAAACACCGGGATCCTATCCAAGTACTTGATGTTGGGTGGGTGTAATGCGTAAATCTGATCCATTATTACATTGACTGCTTTGAAATCGGTGGCTTTTGGCGGTCCATGTTGATTTCCAGTTGCTGATGAGCTCCCAGCTTTCTGGGCCGCATGCTGAGTCAAAACATGGGCTTTCATATCAACCACCACCTTCGCTTTTTTTGCTATCGATGTTGGATTGACCATGTGGACGTAAAGACCGGCGTGAGTGTGATCAGCGTTGAGATCTTTCATAGTCTTGATCCAATGATCATATGACTTTTCTTCGTTTACAGTATATTGAAGGGCCTTTTTGAACTCCGGTGCCGACTTGAGAGCCAAGGAAACCTTCCAGTTGATACGGGGAGATCCAGTTTCGACTGCGTTGTTGATAAGTCCACCAGCATCATCCACAAGCTTGTTGGCCTCAGTGGCAACAAGGCTTTGAAAATCCTTGAGGCTTAATGATCCTATCTCGAAGACTATTGGAAAAACATTCTCTGGTTTAACAGTGTTCCACCCCGGTTTGTCCTGTTTGGGGCAGTACAGTAGGAACGTAGTGCTGCAATGCACCATCTGGGGCTGCAGGATTAACAAGAAGTTTTAGTTTCTTAAACACAAACAAACATTGGATGTAAAGCACTCACAGTAAGATTTGCCGGTTGAGGACCAATGCCATGGATGCGGTAGTTCTCTGCGTCGGTGTGGTATCCCATTCGTGGTGGTGGATTCTGCCTTGCAAAGAGGTCAATACCAAATCGTGACATGTTGTAACTGGCAGGGTTGGTTGTTTGATATGGGGATTGTATTGAAGTTTGGTCTGGAGTGGTTTGGAGTGAGCCGTTGATCATAATTCAACATTACAGTGCTATCATAACCGATGATGACATCATAGGATTTTGATGCCATAATCTATAATTAAATTTCATTTAAAAATCCGGATTTTTTTGACTTTGAGTCCAAGGTTACTTCAAAACACAATATGTACGGATGGATGGATGAGCACGCTGAGCGAGCTGGAGTCTATGCGTGTGTTCTTAATTAACACCGGCTGTATACGGCTTGTGCTCTCTGCAGATCGCGGTTTTTTTTTTGTTTTCTTCCAGGCCGGCTTGTTCTTTAAACATGCCAGCCAGCCAGCCAGCCAGCCTGATACATAGATAGAAAGACACGACAGAAGCTGGTCGATTTGGCGGATTCTCCTGCAAGACTTGAATGGTCGAGCTGCAGCCGCGCTCGACTTTGTTAATTGTCAAAGACAAATTATTTAGATGATCATTCTGCATTCCGTTGTGTCGGAGTCTCTCCTGGCAGTGGAAGCCAGACTGGAGCCGCTCATCATGGATCACATCCAGAACGACATTGTGTCAGCCCGGGAAAAAAACGGCGGAACGGCGGCCGGCGGAAGTTAATAATTGGGAGCTCCAGCGTGCACATGAATTTTTTTCTCTCAGGTCCACAGCCCGGCTTATGGGAATATGTTATGTGCGATGATCCGCTGCAAGTGTCGAGGTCTGCCTGAATTGCAGGCTGCAGCTTGCCCCGTCCTCCTTCTTCCTCGCGCAATTAGGAGTTTTATTGTTGCACCAGCGCGGCGCTCCGCATGATAAAATGATTCGAAGACTGATGATGCAGATGATGTTGCAAAATGTCTTTGTAAGGACATACGGCCATCGACGGAGAGAGCCCGCTTGGACACGAGACACTAACAAGTACAGGTTTGGAGATCGGGAGCGGTATTTGGGGGATGTTTGGGGACTGGCTTAGATAGGAGACGTGTCAAATGAGAAGAAGCTCCTCTGAAGAGTTCCTTGAAACCGGAAGCTCTTCTGACTAGAGTAGGGCTGGGTGTTTCGAGGCCAGTAATCTGAGAGTGCTTGGCTGGTTATATAAAGAAGCACTCTCATCCAGACTGGAGTAATCATCGGTTCGTTTGGCTTGATGGGCTTGGGATGATGAGGATGATGATTAGTTGTAGATCAGCTTGGATGGCGATGGCCCTGATCATCAGCTCCTCCAGACCACTCCTCACCAAGCCAGCACTGATCACCCAGCTCGCTGAGGACGACGAACCATTCCATCTGCCCACAAACTTCTACCTCGACATCTTCGACGACCACCACCCCTCACCACTACCATCACCACCACCACCAGAACAAGAAGAACAAGAAGAAAATAATACCCATCATCACCCAATTGAAGACTTCCTTGCTTCAGACCATCACTCAACCATCTGGCCGAACAATCATTATCATCCTCCAGGCTATCATCAAGAACAGACCGCTCCTTCTTCTCCGCTAATCAGCCCAAACATCCATTTACCAGCTCCACCTCCACCCATCCAAAACTTGGACAGTCCACCAACCTCTCCCCCTCACACTGATTCCTACTTACTCCACGAGTCGGTAGCCTCAGATCTCTACAACTTCTGGCCCGACCACTTGGATGATTATTATCTTCCAGATCTCCAACAAACCCAGCCCGACCCAGATCTCGCCCCTCACTTCTTGCACTCTCCTAATGCAGAGCTCTCCACTCCCGCAAACCCGAGCGACCTCGACCGCTCCAACCCGCTCCACAACGTCGATCTACTTCCAGCCGCCCGGGGCAAGAAGAGGAAGAGCCTCGACGGCCAGCTGCAGCAGTCCCTCCTCCAGCCGACCCCAAGAAAGTCCAAAGACTTCCGCCAACCCACCCGAGCTCCGAACGAACATCTTGCCGGGCCAGATCAGTCTTCCCCGTCGATCGACATCGATCATGAGCTCCTCCGAACCTCACCCTCCCTCACCGGCCACAAACGGAAGCTTCGGACTCAACAGGATGGCCAAGCGCACCGAGAGCGTCTGGGTTCAGACGGCCCCTCTGGGCCGAGCAGCGGACCCAGAAAGCCAGGTGGCGGCCCAGTGCAAGCCGGGCGACTCCCGCCGGCACCGGCTGTAACCAAGGCGCCGACGGCGCGGTTGAGATGGAAAGTACCTGCGCCTGGCTCGCTTGCGATTCCGGAGCCGGCCGGGCCGATCAAGAGCTACTACCCACGTCCATGGGAAGAGGTGCAGAAGAAGGCACACAGGTTCGGCGCCCATCCGTCCTTCGGCCAGCCCTTTGACCAGCTCGTCCGGGCCGACAAGTCCCATTACGATCTGCTGACCCAGGTCGTCACTCATCGTTCTTCTAAACCCTCGCTGCGATCCTCCGTCGCCCCAATATCGCCCGATCTCGACGTCCGATCCCCGCCCCGGCCTCTGAAGCCTCCTCCAAATAGCATGCAAGACCGCTTAATAGGATCGGCGCCGGGCCATCCCTCATTGAGGCCGGGGCCGAGCGGGCAAGCGGAGGGTTTCATCGTGGGGGGGCCAGTCCAACAACGGTCGACGGAGCTGCCGTTCACGGTCAACACGTTCCTGAGCGCGCGGGACTCGGATGGGGAGACGCGGCATTCGGCCGGGTTCTGAGAGCGGTGTTTGCGAGTCCCTCGGATCCGAACCCGGTGCTCGTGCTCTCGCCGGCCCAGACCGGCCAGATCCTCGACCAGATCCGCCAGGGAATGCGCCACGGCCACGAGGGCCTGGTCAAGGCCAAGACCGAACACCAAATCCGCGACTCCTTCTTCCCCAACCTCGGGCTCTGGAAGGCCGTCTATGACCGGCTCTTGGACTCGCCCGACCTCGACCAAGACTTGCTTCACATCTTCCGGGCCTCCTCCTCCGACGACTCGGTCGGCCTGTCGCATAGAACCTTACGAGTCCTGGAACGCTTCCAAAAGCTGTGCTATCTGTTCATGTTCTATGTCCACATCATCGTCTCCATCTCTCCCCCTCCTTCTCAACTCATCTCCCATCACTCTGCGCCTGCTGACCGGACCCACGAGGCGCTCACCAGGGCGTTCGAAGACTTCAAGCTCCACTTCAGAGCCCAACTCTCGAATTCGCAGAGTGCCAAAGGAGGCCGCCCGCCCAACTGGTCCACCCTGGTCTGGCACGCCCTCGAGCATTGGATCCGCTCCGACCCCGCTTACGCCCATCTCATCCACTCCTCTTCTTCCTTCCAGAAACCCCCCGCGCTGGCATCGGCAGGATCCTCTTCCTCTTCCTCCTCTTATCAAATCCCCTGCCAACTCTTCTTCGACGCCTGTTTCGCTAATTCTCTCGTCCTCTTCACTCGCAAGTTTAGACGGCTTCTGAAATCGACTAGCTAATCCACCACCCCCGTTCACTTGTTTTGTATTTTTTTTCGTCGTCGTCGTTTTTGTTTTTGTTGTTGTTTTTGGTGGTGGTCGTGTGTGTGTGTGAGGGCAGTTTTTATTTTTTTTTTAAATGAGGATCGATCGAGTTAAGATGGCCGCTCCACATAGTATATCCATATCAGTCGAACCCACGATGACTAAACCAGCCTACATTCTCTCTCTGTCCTGGCTCGGATGAGGGGGTCAGTCACTTACAAGTCACACCAGTCTCGCCGATATTCCTAGAACAGGGAGGCACTTAATAACGAGGCGAGAGATCGTGTCGCCAATTTATATGTATAGTTGTTCAACCAGTTTGTTTATAGTGATCAAGGACCCCATTTCAATCGTTCTGCCTGTCCCTGAAGTGAGATATGTATGTCTGCAGCGCTGAGAGTGGGGCTGAGCAGTAGTCTCGTTGTTGGTGGCCGTCTCCGGTCTGGCGTTGTACAAATTTGTATGTGTTTGATGAAGCCACTTAAGTTCTAGAAGAAATCCTGGCTGATAGGTATGTGTGTGTAGCTTAACCACGCTCTTCTCCTAACTTAACTAACTGGCAGTTGATCCGATGGCTTGGGAGGGTCCCTTCGGGACGGCGTCCCCCCTCCCACAGAGGGGCTTGGTTAAGTTTGTAGCTCTTCTCTTGGTCGCTCGCTCATGTGTGCCATTCCACCGGGTCCGTCGCCGTTGGTGAACCTGTCTCCTGAGCTCTGCTTCATCATCATCATCATCTTCTCCGGGGACGTCATGTACATACATAAACCCTGGATTATCATTTTTTTTTTGGAAGGAAGGAAGGATGGAAGTCCCGGATCGCCAGACATCCCCCGGCGCGACTCGATCGATCAGACTGGCCCATGGTCCAACCCTCTTCACCCACACCTATCACTTATCAAGACCGCTTGATCTTGGCCAATGCCAGGCTTGTCTGGCCCTCATCATGTCCAGCCCAAGCCTCACCACACACCCCCTCCACACAACTCCGCGCGAAAGTGTTGCAGATAACGCGTCCCTTGTCCAGGGTGTACATATAAGGGCCAGCAGCAACGGCTTGCAAAGAGTGAATGTACATATGTCGGTCGATCATGTGTTTTTTGTTTTCAGGACAGTCAAAGGCCGGGATCCGACGCGCGCTTCCGGGTGTCTTTTCTAGCCTATTACATATGTACAATTCCGACGGGCACAAGCTAGCCGAGACTGCACAAGTCTTGCACGACTATGTGGGACACAACTACATAGAGTCCGCGCCTCGTCGGCCCGGCCGCCCTTGAACATCAAAGCCATCGCAAGCCGCTCCATACGCTATTTTTCTTGATCATCGTCCGCTTGGGACTTGCAGGTCTTCAGACCGGCAGGGGAAGGGTCATGAGGGTATATAGGACCCTGCAACATGATTAGGGTGTGCAACATGGACCAATACTTAATTGGGCTGTTCATCGGGGGCTCTGCAGGGAAGTGCGCGAGATCGTCCGGTTGTTCAAAAGGCCTTCTTTTTTACCCACAGCTTTTACATCCGGTCGATCGCCTGATCAGCATTGGGGACATCCTTCATCCAATCTGCACGCACTCGAATGAAAAAAAAAGAACAGATACCGCCGTGGTTAGGCTTTTCCGCTCGGACACAACTTCGATTGCGCAAGAATCGATTTCTTGGGGGAAAGGATCTGTCTGTGACTGTATAGACACAAACCAGTCCCTCTCGAGGCCATGCCAGCCCGGGGCCGTGGTCAGCTATGTTCTTCGGATGTGTGGCTTGCGGGACATTGCAGACTGCTGGAAGCGGGGGTCCTCTTGATCGGCTCCGCGTGCCCAGGAGTTACTCATCCGTCTGGCTTTGGTATCCTGTCTATAAGTAGCAGAGACACCGCGTTTTTTTTGGAAACAGATGGCGTGTCAGCCGGGAAAGGTGTGTGTATCACCGCTTGGGGCACATAGATACGATTGGCCTGCTCGATAATCAATTGAGACGGCCGGTTGGTCAGTCAAGACGTCGAGAATATATCTATCTATCCATCTGTTTCTGAAGTATCCAAAGCTACGCGCTGGATCATTGTCCGTCTTTTTTTCTCCCATATATTCCTTGTGAATCAATCACAGTGCTTTCCGTCCAATTTGCGTCATGTTTCTCCTTGAAGAAAATGCAAAAGTGAGACTTTGGACGGCGGCTTCTAGAGACCCTCTCCAATGCTTTGGATATCTACAATACAGACTATTTGATTTTAAACGTGCAAGTTATACCGTTCAACCAAACCTTGCCGCGGCCATAATTGCTGCTCAACACGTCTGCTCAGTATCATGAAGCCCTTTGTGACCACGTCCACATTCTGCTCGCCGTGTACTGAGCCTACAAGGCTCCAAGCAAGACGAGAGTTGCGCCGTATCTGGCCAATGAGAACCCAAGTGACGCGTATGAATGACTTTTGTGTCACGCTGCGATCGGTGGGCAGCTGAACAAAAAAAAAAAAAAACAGAGACGCGTCTAACAAAGGGACAAAGAGAAATAGTAGAGTACCGGCGTAGTGTTAGTGAGCCCTCTGACATAAATAGACTTGCTATCCTCACTTCTCTCTTCCCTCACCCTCCTCCACTTGACTCCCTCCCCCCCTCAAGTGAGCAGGTGGCGCCACTTCCTCCTCAACGCACTCTCCAGCCTTCCCTTTCCTGATCTGGTACCGTAACACCCCCTCCCTTTTCACCTCTCGCTCCTCTCATCCATCCCTTTGGAAGCCGGTCTTCAGAGCTTGAATATATATTTTCTAAGAGTTGATCTTGCAGAAGCTTACCTCTCCTCTAGTAAAAGCGTAAGTTGGTCTGACATTGCCCGCTCGTTTTTTTCCTCTTTTTCACTTCTATTAACCAATGGCTAATATTCGTTGGTGTCTTGCCAGTCCTTAACAGTTCCAGCGCCTTCTCATAGTGTCAGTTCGAGCTCTGTTCTCCATAACTCTACGAGCTAACTCCCAACATCTCTGATTTTTTTTTTATAGTGAAACCAAAAAGACCATGCGAGACAAGATGCGGGCCACGCACGAGCCGGATTACCCCATCTGTCCCATCGGAGCTCCAGCGCGTGACTTCAGCCACCACCGCCGGCCACCACCGAAGCCGGTAGCCAAGCCCCGCCCTGCCCTGCCCTCATCAGGATCAGCCCGTCCCCAAGGTATGGTCTTCTCCCCCGACAACCTTCCCCAAGCCCTCAAGAACGTCGGCGGTCCAGTGGCCACTCGCACTCCTGCTCCCATCCCATCCCAGACTCGTGCTTCTCGCGGAAAGGGCATTATCTTCAACGTCGATGAGCTTCCTCAAAACCTTAAGGAACTCGCCAAAGCCGCCAAGACTGACGCCGCTTGAATTAATAAATAAGTCAGTATCTTTACTCTTATCCAAATCCCAGAACAGCTGGCTGATATCCTACTCCGCCTCCAGATTTCTTTGTCTCTCTCTCTCTTCACGGAATTTTCTTGCTTTATCCTTTGTCTCACTTTCTGTACAATCTTTGTCCCAGAGAAACAGTTTCTGTTCGGCTTTCTTCCTCCACTCCTTTCACGCTTCCTTGAACTGTGTCCGACACAAGTTATCCTTTTTTTTTCTCTTTGATCATCAACACCTTGTGTGCCTAGTTTCAAAGGCTCTGTTCAACCCAATTTTAACGACCAACCACCACTTCTTTTTTTTTCCACTTTGGGATTCTTCAAACCCCATGTAAAATCGACATATTTGTTAGGCGCTGCCAAGCCACAGGATCATCAGGGAACCCATTCCCAAAGAAAAAGATGCATGATGAAGATTTTATATGAGCTATTTTCGCATATGAACGGAGAATCCAGGGAACTCGCTGCCATAGCCTCCTACCTACAACACTAAATAGGTATGATTGCCTCACTAGATACGTCCCTGAAATCTGTGACTTATTCACTCACACTTCAGTAACCTTGGCCGCATCCACATCATTCCTATTTCTACACTGCGTCTTGTGATTTTTGGCTGGTCTCTGTTTGAGAGTGCTTTCCAGGCTCTTGTCTAGAGGCAGAGGTCCCCCAATGGGTGAGCCAAGGGAGGCATATGAAACACTCCCTTAATGCAAACCACACATGGCTAGACCAGGTTGACGGAAGGGTGAAGTCTGGAGAGTGCTTAGAGGTAGAAAACACTCAAGAGGTCTGGCACAACAAGGCAGACAGCAATTGCAGGTCTACAAGAGCTTGGCTAAACACAACATGGCAATCAAACTCCACAACCTTCTGCTCTGGAAGATTCCTACAACACAAAATTAGCAGGAGATCACAATCTGGCTGAGACAATATATGGAATGTTCCAAGCATTTTCACTGGATTTGTTGATCCAATCAATCAAGTTGATACAGTAAATGCAGGACTTGTTGACGCTTTATTTGTTCTTTTTTGATATGATCTCTTCCATTTCTTCCCATTCTCCCCCTCCTCTCAACCACCTTCATTCAAAAAAGAAAAATTTATCACATGTGTAGAAATTTTATACTTAAGTGCGTAAGAGGATGAGGGGCAAAAAAAGTGTTAATCAATAGACTAAAGAATGTATTTCATTAATACCAGCTTTTGAAATACAATAGAAAGATAAAGATAAAATATAATCACCTAAAGCAGTAGATGACAAAAGAAAGAACAACAATATGTTACAAGATGATAAGAATGAGAAATGGAAAGAGTTCTAACAAAAGAGAGTGATTAATACTGGTTCAACAAATGAGAGAAGATCCACAATGATGACCTACATGGAAGGAACTTTTAGGAAAGTAAGGATCGGCAAGTTTGTCGAGAAGAAGGGATAAAGATGATGAGCGTTGTAGCGAGAAGCAATACTGATGAATATCACAAGATATGAAGACTCGCGTTTAGGAGAAGAATGTCAAGACGAGATAAAGTATGATGAGAATCTCGATATGAAGAGGGGAAGAGTTGAATGTGTTTGATTGTGAGTGAAGAATACGAAAGAGTTTTTATTTCCTGAGGACTGAAAGGAGAAGTGATTTGAGGTGAGAGAGCAACATGATAAGTAGAAAGAAAAGGGATCGTGCAAAGACTTCAGAGGAATCAGGAGTGGTGATGAGGAAGAGGGTCGAGTGGAGAGTTCAGATAATTTTAGATGTGATGATGTCATTGTAGTGGCTTGAACAAGATGACATCATCATTTTGATATTGAGGGAGAAAAAATAAGCTAAGGTTTAAGTGAGTTTCAGGAGCTTGAGCCTAGACTTCAACAAAAAGGAAGTCTTATTTTTGGGAAGGGCTCATGGAAAAAGAGTGTAAAGAACCGATGATTTTTTATTCATAAAAATCTAGTCAGGTTAACTTTAAATAGACTAAATACAAATGATGAAAATGTGGTTGTGAGAAATGAATAGCAAAATCATTTTGAATAAAAGACTGAGGAAGAAACACGAGTCTTTGGAAGAAACAAACCGTACAAAACTTCTCAGTCTCTTTTAGTCAAGCCGGATGAGTTAATCAAGAAAAACATGCTATAAACCACAGATATTTAGAGTCGTTAATTCTAAGTAATCAGACTTTATTAGATCAAACAGAAAGATCAGCAAAGAGAAGAAAACATTGTAGAGACATGAGTTGTTGAGAAGAGCATTACTTGGGGTTCATATTTGACTCAAAAGGGGCTTAGAAACAACAAAAAACAAGCTACTTGATGAGTATAATCTAGTCTGGTTTTATGATGACTTGAAAAGAAAAAGGAGTGATTTTGGGGAAGAGTAGACCAGAGAAGAGGAAAACTCAACAACATGCCTCCAAGAAGTCCCAAGAACACATTGATTGGTGTCTCTCTGATTCTAATAAAAAAGAAGGAATATTAGATATAGAGATCGTTCGTTCGTACTCGGGTACCTGTTGGTACCTAGGTACCTGTTGAATTTTTTCAAAAAATAGGTACCAAGTACTGCACCAGGCACCTCCCGGCGGGTACCGGCGGTACTTTTGGCGGGTACCGCGGGTACCTCCCCTCTCTTTCTAACCTAGGTTCACTTTCAGATTACCAAGTCACTTTTTCATTATTATTTTTTTCATATTTATTGTAAAATATCAGTCCCAAGTCACTTTTTTTCCATTCTTTCATATTTATTGTGAAATGTTGACAACAAATTGGAAGAATCCTACTGTGTTATTAAATTTTCATATTTATTGAAAATATCATTCCCAAGTCACTGTTTTTCCTTTTGTCGTATTTGTTGTAAGACATCTTAAACTAATTGGAAGAACCTTACTTCATTATTATTATTATTTTCATATTTATTGTAAAATATTACTCAAGTCACTTTTTTGGCATTTTTTTCATATTTGTTGTCAAGTATCTACATCTAATGGGAAGAATCTTGCCTTTTTTCATATTTATTGTAAAACATCAATCCCAAGTCAATTTTTTCATTTGTTCACATTTAATAATTTAATTAAAGCTTAAACTGTCTACAAATTATATCTAATTAGATTATTAGAAGAATCTTCATCGTTGTCCAAAACTATCACCTTCCTTTTTAATTTTTGGTTAGACTTCTTGTTATCCTTGAGTCCCTGTTTCCATGTAGCCAAGGTACCTTCTTGGAGTTCTTGGAGTAGAAGGCCACCGTCATTTTGGTAGGGAAGTGAGGGGGTACCTGTAGCGGTACCTAGGTACCTGTTCAATTTTTCACAAAAATAGGTACCAAGTACCGCACCTGGCACCTCCCAACGGGTGCGGGGCGGGTGTGAAGGGTACCCCCCAGGCAGTACTAGGTACCTAGCAAAGGGTACCGCGGAACGATCTCTAATTAGATAAGGCAGGAATGCGTTGGGAATATCTCCAGTATCAGATGGCCCACAATCCAGCTTACAAATTTTCTTAATTCCCTCTTCTTCATAAAGATGGATTTATTGGTATTACCAATAGTTGTAAATATTTATTTAATTCTTTTTGATTCATGCTTTTACTAATCAATTGAAAAAAAAGATGCTTGGTGAAGCTTCAATGTACAACATGTACTGCATTTTTTTGTTGTGATGTGGGGTGAGGAGCTTCCAACATCATCGTCATTATCTACAATCTGAACAAGAAATGTTGAGTATGAGAGAGAGAGACCTCATGTGGGCCTTGAAAGAGTGGTGATCATGAGTCTGTGTGGTGTCAAGAACGCCGAAATTTTTTGGATAGATTTCGGCCTCTTTTATGAAGTGTTCACCAATCAAGTGAATTGGCAAGCACTAACTTAGCAGCGCTATCTGCAGGGGGATGTTAACCCTCGATTTTAAATCCCCGCATAAGTCACCCACCGCCGCTTGGATTAATGTTGTATGTTTTTGGTTCTTGGTAATACTCATTGCCATTACAAAACATCTGAACATCTGCGATCTCACCCTTGGTTTTGTAGCTCTGCCAATCATATCTGGCCTCTGTAGCTCACTTCCATGCTCAATACCACCACAATACCGTTCAGCTTTGCAACTCGACACACTTAGAAACAGTGGTTGCTGATCGAGGCTATCGACGAGGTCTTTCAATATAAGACTAGAACGGTTGTTGTTGTCTGAAAACGTGCTCAGAGAGATTCCCAGGGAACTGGTTGAATCTCTTGAGTGACTTATGGTCTATCCTCTGTTGCCACTCAGTACCTGTCTTGGAGGCTCTAGACTTATCGATACATAACATTGTTATTCATGGCATCGAAGGAAATGGTGTATGAAAATCAGCTCATACATCCTCAATGTTCTGCATAGGAACTGGGTTCTTCCAGATGTCACATAGACTGCTTGATTCTGGGCAGAGGTGGATCACATTGGCCATCGCTCAAGATCCGGAAGACTGAGAAAAGCTTGGAAACGTACAAACCTCAGCGGCTGATGGGCACAGGAATGAGCTCGAGATAACTCGTCAAGTCCTTCAACCACAGTCAGCATATTGTCGATGTTCTGCATCTCTGTCATCATCAAATCAAGGGCCAAAAATAACCCATGCAGTAAATCATTTAAGAACAGGCGTGTTGTGATGGAGGCTTCCGTTCTGAGATCGGTCAACAATACTGTGCACCGTTATTCAAATTTCGATTGAGAAATTGACCGAGCCTTTTGTTTTGTGATCTGTGTGTACCTCCGGGAAAAATATATCCGTCTACAACGCATCGGCTGCTCAAAGGTCACCAATGCTTTTCGACTGTTCTTGCGAAAAATCACTCTCGGCAGCGTGTTTCCTTTGACTCATCGGCTTCCGACAAGTCCGCAACACAGTTTACTTTTGCATCGCGCCAAGGTAGGAGAGGCGCCTTGTTTTGTTTTGAAATCAGCTGGAGTGTGAAGCGTGAAAGGCAAAATATACATCATAACTTGGTTCAGCCATTATTTACCAGCTGAATTGAAAGACATCGACCAGTTATTTAGTCAAGATGTGAAGAAAATCCATCTCTCTCTACAGAATTCAAACTGCGTCACGTTTAACCATCCGTCTTTTTGCTCGAACCAATTCCATATCACAAGGCTTCACCAGGCTTTTTCCTTCCAATTCCCATCATGTTTCCCCTTGAAGAAAACATAAGGTGATCCTTTGAAACACAGCCTCTAGAGACCCTCTCCGATGCTTTGGATCTCTACAAGACAGACTGTTAAGACATGAGCCAACATGTAGTAGAAATTATTTGAGCTTGTAAGTTATACTATTCAATCAAACCCCGCCGCGGCAAAAATCAATGAACACTTCTCGACACGTCTGTTCAGTATCTCGGTGCCCTTTGTGATCACGTACACATTATGCTTACTGTGTACTGAGCCTACAAGGCTCCAAGCATGCAAAGAGTTGCACCCTATCTGGCCAATCATATTCCAAGTAACGCGTATGAATGAATTCATGGTCACGCTGCGATCGGTGGGCAGCTGAACAAACAAACAGAGACGCGTCTAACAAAGGGACAAAGGAAAATAGCAGGATGGTCAGAAGCAGCAGCTGCTGAGCTCTCTGACATAAATAGACTCACAATCCTCACTTCTCTCCCCCCTCTTCCTCTTTCCTCACCCTCCTCCACTTGAATCTCTCCCCTCAAGTGAGCAGGAGGCCCCACCTACTCTTCAACGTACTCTCCAGCCTTCCCTTTCCTGATCTGAGACCGTAACACTCCCTCCTTTTCTCCCTCTCCCTCCTCTCATCCATCACTTCGGAAGCCGGTCTTCAGCGCTTGAATTATCTCTAAGAGTCGATCCTCTGGAAGTTTTTTTGTTCTCCCCGTTGGTGGAAAGCGTAAGTCGGCGTGCTCTTGCCCCCTCTTTTTGTTGTCTTTTGCTTGAATCAACCAATTCCTGAATTCATTCTTGTCTTAATAGTCCTTCACAGCCCAAGCCCCTTCTCATAGTGTCAGTTCGAACTCTGTTCTCCATAAGTCTACGAGCTAACTCCCAACATCTCTTATTTTTCATAGTGAAACCGAAGACCAGGCTAGACAAGATGCGGGCCACGCACGAGACAGACTACCCCATCTGTCCCATCGGAGCTCCAGCGCGTGACTTCAGCCACCACCGCCGGCCACCACCGAAGCCGGTAGCCAAGCCCCGTCCTGCCCTGCCCTCATCAGGATCAGCCCGTCCCCAAGGCACGGTCTTCTCCCCCGACAACCTTCCCCAAGCCCTCAAGAACGTCGGCGGTCCAGTGGCCACTCGCACTCCCGCTCCCATCCCATCTCAGACTCGTGCTTCTCGCGGAAAGGGCATCATCTTCAACGTTGATGAGCTTCCTCAAAACCTTAAGGAACTCGCCAAAGCCGCCAAGACTGACGCCGCTTGAATTAATAAATAAGTCAGTATCTTTCCTCTTATCCAAATCCTATAACAGCTTTCTGATATCCCAACAACATCTTACTCCTCCTCCAGATTTCTTCGTCCCTCTCTCCACGGACTTTTCTTGCTTTGTCTTTTGTCTGGCTTTCTGTACAATCTTTCTCATAGAGAAATTAATTCCAAGTTTTTTTTCTTATTTATTGCTGTATTAATACACTCCTTTCACTCTTCTTTGTACTGTATCATCAGATAAAACTTGTTTTTGTTCTATCATCAACACCTTGTGCCTAGTTTCAAAGGCAGCATGTAATCTAGTCAATCAAATTCAATAATTTCCCGCCACCAATTCTCTTTTTTTTCAACTTTGTGCCTCTTTGAAAACGAAGTAAAACCAACATATCGAAGTTGTTAGGCTTAGCGGATGCCGCCAGGCCGCAGGCTTACTAGGGAGCCCATTCCCACGGAAAGAGAAGAGGCACGATAAATGTTCTATTTGAGAGATTTTCGCATACAAACGGGAAAGTCCAGGGACTCGCTGCCATAGCCTCCTACCTTTTATAGCTTTCGCCGTTGGCTTCGAAGTGTTGCCATTGGCTTTGAAGTGAATATTTCTCCTCGAAAGAAATCAATGAGAAATCGCCAGATCACCGGCCTCTCCCCCATGTGCGAGGAGAAAGGTTATCAAAGCTATCAAGTCAGGCGAACAACAAGAAATAGCTATGATTGCCTCACTGCATACTTACCAGAAATATCTGCCTTATTCGCTCGCTTGTCAACCTTCAGCAATAGTTCCCTTCATCCACATCAGTTCCATCGCTGCACAGTGTCTTGCCCATTTTTTTCATGCTAGGGGTGTTTGTCCTCATTGTTTGTTCTCTGCCAGGGAGTGTTCGGGGCATTCGCCTGTGTAGAGGAAGATATACACACGAATAGCACCGGTTGATGGACCGGTGAAGACTGGAGAAAAGAGCCTGGAGGGAACACCTGTAAGCTCAATCCAACATGTCTCAATTAGAAGAGGACTGGCGCACAGCTCATGAGTGTATGTGCAATTGAGACTTGCCCCCTTCCTTCCTACTAGGAAACCGTGAGCTCAGGAATGGATATTATACCATTGAGCATTCTACCCACCTGATCAACACACGGCTGTATATCAAGCTTCCAGTCGCCACATGAATTCGCTCCTTGATAAATGTTTACCACAGAATAAAAACGACTCGTTTGTAACGATTTGCGCGGACGAACTTGGAGGAAACTTTTCCTGATTGACGACGTATGAAAGACAGGCGGGGAAGTAGACCAAGTCGAAGTGAATGTAATGTATCTTTAGCGCCATACATCAACAATCGATACATCCACTTCCTTCAAAACTGACTCTTATCTGATGCAGTTACAATAGCATCTTGCAATATTTCTTTAGGGAAAGAACCTAATTAAACTGCTTGCCTGTATCAGTGACATCGGAAGAAAAAAAGAGTGACCGAAATAATTTCCGTCGACCCCGAACGACCACAGCGGAGAGCTCACAGCCAGGCCAATCGATTTGACACCGGGGGCGCATTAAATTGGACCGCATTTTCATTACCGTTGTCGTTTGATCGAGCGCGAGGACGGGGGAACTCTGGTTGCGGGGAGAGCCCGAGGAGACGCCTGGTTACTTTTGTATAGTTTTTGAGTAGGTGGTTTCCACCACTATCTATCAACGAACGTCTTGCCAGCATCCATCCACCGCATCTCAAGAAAAAAAAATTCCGAGTGGCCCATCTTTGTGGATGATACCAGACTGTTTTTAACCTGTTTCCTTCTCATAAAATCACTCGCATTATTACAAAAGTGTTCATATCTCCTACCAATCGAGTCCCGCATCCTTTGATCATAACCCTTTCTCTTCTCCTTGCTCACGATCCGATCATATCCTATCCACCCCTTTTTTCGCTTTTCACAACTACTCGAGATCTTGACTCCTTGATTGGAATTTGTTCAGTTTTCACACACAAGATCATCTCATCATTTTCGAGTAAAGCTACGCTCGAACCTCCCCCCCTGTGGCCCTTGAGAGCTTCAAACGCTTCAACAAAACCGCTCAAACAACAACAACAACAAATGAATTTCTTACGATTGGTTGGGTTCTTAGTTTCCAGTGGATTCTTCTCAGACACCTTCCATGTAGATGTTGGAGCGCAGAACGTGCCGCCCCCAGCAAAAGGAATCCCCTGTGCTGATCCAAAACTCCCAGTTGCTTGGTGTCAAATGGATGTCTATCGAAAAGAAAACAAGAATCATCACTGTAAGTTTTTTTCTTCTTTCTGATTTCATACATCCATAGAATTTCTCTCAGAGGATATGTCCTTGAAAACTGATCCCCCCCCCCTCATACACAACACTTCCTTATTTTTTTCAAAAAAAAAATGGTGTGTAATGATGCGTGATTAGTGATGGGGACTAAAGAAGGATCCAAGAGTAAAGGCCCTTATACCTGTACCGAAATCGGATACAATGTGGCTTGTTGTAAGACAGCCTTCAAACCGGTGAGTAGTCTTATTTTATTTTGTTCTGCCTTGAATGTAAGATAATTTGGATGCTTTAATAATAACTGATTTAACTCTATGACGACCTATGAAAAATAATTATGAAGGGCAAACACGATATTTCTACGTTGACTGATTTGAAGAATGGTTGTGTGGATCCAAGGAATCATAATTTCCAAGAGTGATCAATCTTCCTTTGATTTCTTCTACATATCTTCTATTATAGCAAACAAAAAAGAAGCAAAATTCTTCTTGTTCTTCAACCTTCATGAGTTTACAATTTTGTGACTCTGAATCAGTTGCTCGAAAAAACACTGTCTGAATTCCACACTGGTTTGATGTCCATAATCCTTAGTTTTCAATTACGAATGGGTGCATGCTGTAGTTATATTAATAGACAATTTATACCAACTCAGATTGAACTCCAATTTCCATGTTGTAACTTGTATGTACATATATGAATGCTTGAATCACTCTTATATCAGAAGTCAGGTCAAGTGAATAGAAAGATCCTCCAAATCTTTATATATGTGAAATTGATCATTGGCTTGTAAGAAATGCAGTGTATGGATTGAGTGTAGGGTACATTGCAATGTGCCAGACAGGTTTCCACTATGATGCATCCAGTTGTGTTCACATCAATAGCAAACGTGATGTGCTCAATTAAAGAATTCTAGGTGGGGGGGGGTCCATCACTTCTATGTAGCCCACAACCTATCAGTCCAAGTTACATATAGCAGAGACAAACAAGTCATAGTTTTGGCTGGATCTCTTTTTTTCTGATCATGTTGGGCGTCACAAGCATAGTATAAACATGTAGATTCATTCTGGTCAGACGATGAAGTGGTTCAACTTTAAGGGGGTTTGGCTGCATCGCCATCAGGCTCTGTCCAGAAAGTGGAGCAGGTTGCTGATCAAATCACTTGTTCTTTTTTTCGCATTTTCTGAATTGCTATGTACTCACTTGTTTACAGAAATTAACTTGAGCAGAAACTCGCTTTCTTGTTCATTTCTTATCCTCCTTTTCCTCAAGATATGAACCACTCTATAAGCTTATTTACAGATTCCTATTTTTTTTTTGTGAGCTGCTGTATATAATCCAATGATTCATTTTATAAGGTCCCCAAAGAAGTGTGATGCTGAGAGAGAGTGTGTGTACCACAGGAATCCAAACCAACATAGTTGTCGGATCTTTCTGAGCCAGATTTCTTTTTTTCTTTACATACGATGTTTTCAGCCAGTTCTCTGTAAGAAACGAACAGTTATCCAATGTTCAGAAAGTGACGAGAAATTGCACAACAAAAACTGCCCAATCAAGCAGCAGGGAGCCGTGTTTGAGTCGAAGCCAAGTGTCGAATTGCGATGGAGGGGGGGGGGTGAGGATTTGGAAGGGACCCAAATTACCGCAGTGGAGATCGACATTCGAATCCACACGCCCACCTTTGAGTCCGGCCTTAAATCTTCTTCAGCTGGCCGGTTATCCACCCAAACAAGTACTCTCCAAAATACATAAGAGCAGCTCAACCCCGGCCCGACCAACCTGTGAACACTACAGACACCCAGTGTTAGACTGAGGTGGCGTGTGCACGCTAGGTCACTCGTGAAGTGAGGAACCCAGCTAAATTTGCAGAATCCCGCGAGTATGGATCCTGCTTGGATCCCTGGGGATTTTTACATATACTTCGAACCGATGAAGTCTCACGACAAGTCCACACCGCTCACACTCCAAACCTCGCTCAGTCATCCAGGCGAAATCGACTAAGTCCCTCAGACAACGCTCCACCCTCATGTCCCCGTTCACCCTGCACAAATCACCCACAAAAAACCTCTAAGTCTAATCTCAAATCATAGCTCATCAACCTCTCATTGTAGACAACACAAATCATTCCTCTTGTGTGGTCGACATTTAAATCTTGATAGTTTTTGGACCACTCATGCCCAGTTCATTTCATGCAAATAGAGTCGATGTTTATATATTTAACACCAATATTAAGATCAAAATAAACAATATTAAACAAAGGAGAAGAAAATTCAAGATGAAAGGTAAAGGAAATGAATGGAATAAAAAATTCGATTGAGTAGAAAATTAAACAAAGGAGAAGAAAATTCAAGAGGAAAGGTAAAGGAAATGAATGGATTAAAAAAAATTGATTGAGTATAAATAAAATTAAACAAAGGAGAAGAAAATTCAAGATGAAAGGTAAAGGAAATGAATGAAATAGAAAAAAAATGATTGCGTGCAGAGGATGAGTGAGTCGGTCGGATTATTGAGTACTGCATCCGATCGTTTGGTACCTTCAACTGAGTTCACCATCATCATCTTCAGGTGGAACATGTTCCACCCCAATAGCCCCTTCGTTTATATCATCGTTTGCTGATTCCCCATCCGAGTCTTGGAGATTAAGAATCGTTTCTTCCAAGAGTAAATCAACATCTGCTGTTTCAAGCCCGTTGACTGCATCACTCTGCTTCAGGAATTCCACCAATGCAAACCACTCCGCTGGTAATGCGCTTCGAGAAACCGTGCCTAGCGCAAGGATCTCTTGGACTGCTGGCTGCCAGCTTAGTAGCAAATGCTTGTGCTTTCTCTGGACCAATTCCAATTCGTCACTGAGGATTTTTCTGGTCTGATATGAAACCTGACCAAACGAATCCTCCAAGACCGCCTTAAGATGCTGATCGACAGTATCTGAGAAACACCTACGTAGTCAGCTAGGTGCAACTGTATGTAGAAGCTACAAAATAAAAAAGTCCAACCAACCAAATACACACTGGTCGATTCGGAGCTTGATCTGTTTGCGATGTTGGATTCCCCATGAGAGACACCGTCTCAATTCATTATTTAACTGTATCAGTTCCTCCTTGGCTCGATCCAATCGCAGTAAAGCGTGAATTCCAGTTCGTACAGTAGGATCCACGGCCCAAGGGTCCTTTGATAAGCACAAGTATGCATCGTTCCAAAACGGATCATCCAATTTCAGCTTAGTAAAATCATCATAGGTGATTGCTTTGTTTTCAGGTAGACTCAGTTGATTGGGGGCATGGTTTTTCAGGTAATCAGTCCGGCGATCACAAAACGTCTTGAGTACCCTTGTAACTGTATTCTTGCGACGACCCAACGCTTTGAATATCTTTTCTTTCAAGACCGTACCAAGCCGCTCGCCATGGGACTTGGAATCCCGCAGTGGTTGCATCTCACCTTGAATTTGTACAGCATATTTGTAGAGGGCGCTTTTAGCGCTCCAAAGTAATGCTAGCCTCTTTTCTTGTTCACCTAAAAAACAAAAATGATCAGGAAGCAGTACAACAACGGTTCAAGAGGATGAAATCCTAACGATTGCGTTCAGCCCCTGTATCAACTGCAAAGTGTGATCCAAGTCTTTCTATTTCTTCGTCTTGCTTTTGCTGGAGGTCTCGTATTTCTTCAAGCATTGAAAGCGCATGAGTTGGATCAGAGTGTGCCGAAGAGCTTGCTAGGCTAGCCACAAACGATTCCCTGGGTCGATGATCAAACAGTTAGTTCTGGGTGAATTACAACTCCAATACATGAAAGGGCATTGGTTACTACTCACACTAGACTTTTCAGCGCTTCTCCCCTTTCAAAAAACTGAGCCTGTTCCTCCTTTTTCAAACGGTCGGTCTCGTTCCTGTTGATCTCAAAATCCCGCTGTTTTTTCCATTCGGCCCGAAAGAAGTCTTCAGTGAAGCATTGGCCGGGTTTGTGGGGATTTTGATCCTTGAGCATTCTTTGAACAATCTTTTGTGACTCGATCTTAGTTGCAATTGCATGGATGAATTTTCTTTTCAGTGTTAGTACTAATGATCAAAAGTATGAAGTCAGCCATGAATTAAAACATGAAGTAAAATGAAGCAGAAAAATTGTGTAAATCATAAAGGAATACCTAATTTTTCTATCCCCAAGGTATTGTGGAACAGACTTCGGTGGTTGATGGCTGTAATGCGATGATTCCTGGTTGCATAGCGCAGGGGGCTGACAAGGGGGGAGAGATAAGACCAAAGACGCTCTAAGCCCTCCCCATCAGTTAAACCCCATCCATCGTTGTAGCGTGGGTTGAACTGTAGCTGACATGGCCAATCGTGGACATACGAATGGAAAACAGCCGTGGCAAACAACATCCTTGGAAGGTAATTGCTAAGGAGACCACGTGCTTGAAAGAATTTCTTCAGAGTACAACCGATATCGTATAGTATGCCTAGTTTGATGTCGGGATTGATTTCGCTGAACAATTTTTTGATGATTGACATCGGAAGGCCTCGTCCTTCACCTGTCTTATGAATATTGCAAAACGAGATGACCGAGTCGTGGCGGCAGCAGCACCCAAATAGGCCTGTGTCGTCACAGCCTTTCCAAGAACTTGCGTTTTGGCGATCATCAGCAGCCTTGTGCTGTTGTGTGCAGCGATCTTTCTAAGAAGGTGAGTATAATTAGTATGTCAGGAGTAAAGATGAGAATCAATAGGGAGCAAAGTCTTACGGCTTTCTGTGATACGCGCTTGGCTATTTCACCTTCCCGTATTTCAACATTGGACAATGCAATCTCTTCAGGTGTAACGAATAGTGGTTCGTTTTTGAGCCCCAGGTAGTTTTTTGAAGCCCGTTCATGGTGGCGGTGCTGGAAATTGCCATCGAGGCAAATAAAGATTTTGTTTGTATCGGATGGCTGGGTAGAATGGCTGTCGGGGTTGAAGGTAGGGTCGTTGGGAAGTGCAACACCAAAACAGGCCGGGCACGATTGCTGGGCCAATACTTCTTGTTTGGTTATTGACGTGACTGTTTGAACGAGATTGCGTTGCATACTCTTCAGAGTTTGATAAGCATTGATTGAACCCACTAAATTTCTTCTGAGATCTTGCGGCTAGAAATGGTAGAACTTTGTAAGACTTAAAGCACAAAATTGGTACAAATTTTATGAGCTTACCCTTTTAGAATTTTTAGCAAAAAGCCTAACTGAGATCGCTTTGTTCCATGTTTGCAGTACTTTACAAAAGGGTGTTGCGTGTGTGTTGCAAAAGTTCCACAGTAAGTCATAGAAATTGAGTAATCGGATAGAGAAAGCTGTCTGAGGAACTATCGGAGTGCACGACAAGTATCCGTTGGCAAGTAAAAGGACTGGATCGGGGGTACAGGGACAGAATCGGAATTTCTCTCTCTTTTGGCCTGTGCAAGCATAATCATACATTCAGCTGAGGTGTGGAATAAAACATAAGTTCAGCTAGTAACCACCTACCCATCAAGTCGATCAAGTCCACCTCGCGAATCTTGTACCTATCGGGTGTGCATTTACAAAGAAGTGATGAAAAGTTGTCCAAAGCGCAGGGAAGGGTCCAGTCCGCGGTTTGATTTTTCAGGTGAAGATATACGGGGAACATTGAATCCATCACGTCCTTCCAATGTTGGTGCTTCTGCTTTTGAATGAACTCTTCATGAAGGGATCGAATGCGGGCGAGGGAGTTGGAGTCTTCATCATTCATATATTCGCCAGTATCTTCCCAGAGGGAGTTTTCGTTGAAGCCGAGCGATTCTTGTGCATGTGTTTCAGTATCGGGATTGTCGGGGTTTGTGGATTCTTGGTCATTTTGGTCTTGAGTATCCCTACGATTGATTTGGCGCCTTATGGAATCTCCAATTTCTGCCTTTGTTCTCTTCTGACAGGCAAGTCGTGCTTTTTTTTCTGAGCGGGTTTCGGTGTTTGGAAGTTGGGAGCGATAATGGAACTGATATAGGTTTTTGGGTCGTTTTCCGGGTGCCATTGAGGTCAAAGATTGATCAGGCACAAGATTTTAAATGAATGAGATGAGGTTTAAAGAGGAGCTGATTTGATCAAGCTGAAAAAATTCTTGAAGGTGAAAGGCTGATAAGATCTAATTACCTGTAACGAGATTGAGGAGATCCACTCACTAGTAGTACTACACATGCATTTATTTACACTCACTCAATCCATCCCACATGCCACTCACTAATAGAAAATCCAAATCAACAATTTTTTAATCAATCACATTTATTTATTACAAAAACCCTAAAATTTTGAATGGCAAGAAGATTTATAATCCTTCCTTAGGAAAATTCATGATCTGCAATAGTAACTCCTTGCAGGGCAAGACACAATAATGAATTTTCCATGGCTCACACTTGGGGAAAATCAATCAAATCTGGATTCAATAAATCTGCATCTGATTTTTGGTATAATTGTTGTAATTTCAATCCTTCACAAACCAAAGTTATTCTTGTTGGTATTTTTACCACCCAAACAGGCCAAAGTGGCAGTGAGCACATGTTGGTTTGGATATACACAACATTCCATGATGTTTCCAAAGCATGGTTTATTCATCCAGTAACTATAAAAAAGAAGTTAACATGCTTTGGAAGCAAGAAAAGAGATGGGTCACAACTGGAATTGGAGGTGCCTGCTAGAATACTTGAGTCTGTTAGCCACACCCACATTTCACAGTGGGCACATGTTGGTTTGAATATGAAACACCTCCAATGAAGTTTCCAAAACAGGTTGACTTCTTTTTTATAGTTACTGGATGAATAAATCATGCTTTGGAAGTATCATGGAATGTTGTGTATATTCAAACCAACATGTACCCACTGTGAAATGTGGGTGTGGCTAACAGACTCAAGTATTCTAGCAGGCACCTCTTATTCCAGTTGTAACCCATCTCTTTTCTTGCTTCCAAAGCATGTTAACAACTTTTTGATAGTTACTGGATGAATAAACCATGCTTTGGAAACATCATGGAAGGTTGTGTATATCCAAACCAACATGTGTCCACTGTGAAATGTGGGTGTGGCTAACAGACTCAAGTATTCTAGCAGGCACCTCCAATTCCAGTTGTGACCCATCTCTTTTCTTGCTTCCAAAGCATGTTAACTTCTTTTGTATAGTTACTGGATGAATAAACCATGCTTTGGAAACATCATGGAATGTTGTGTATATCCAAACCAACATGTGTCCACTGTGAAATGTGGGTGTGGCTAACAGACTCACACATTCCAGCAGGCACCTCTTATTCCAGTTGTAACCCATCTCTTTTCTTGCTTCCAAAGCATGTTAACTTCTTTTTTATAGTTACTGGATGAATAAACCATGCTTTGCAAACATCATGGAATGTTGTGTATATCCAAACCAACATGTGCTCACTGCCACTTTGGCCTGTTTGGGTGGTAAAAATACCAACAAGAATAACTTTGGTTTGTGAAGGATTGAAAATATAACAATTATACCAAAAATTAGATGCAGATTTATTGAATTACTTTACTTGTTGTGGTGTATGTATCATAGGAGCTGCGCCACATCTAATTATGTCCTATTTTTTCTGGGAGCAGTTACAATACTACTAAGCTACTAAGCTACTAAGGGTTACAACTCTGGTTTAGGATTAAAAAGATAGATAAAGATAGTATAAATATCATGATAAATTTTCATTGAATACATTTACCATTTCCTTTTTCTTAGTGCGTGTAAAACAAAGCTGTGTAACATTGACCCTATTTTGGCTAGGATTGGTTACTATGAAGGATGATAAATATGGTTACAACAGGAATAAGAATGTATAAATTATCTAAAAATTAAGATACAGCTTCATTAGATAAATTTTCAAACATTTTTCCTTGTGAAGCATGTAACAAACAATCTGTGTAGCTTTGTTGAATGTTCTCATTTGGGTTTTCTACTAAGGATTGTGACTCTGGTTCCAACAGGAGTAAAGAAAGATTAAGCCATATATTCATGGAATAAGAAAAAAATCATTGAATAAGACACAACATCATACAACATCATTACAGAAAATCATTGAATAAGACACAACATCATTGAATAAGACACAACATCATTGATAAGATACAGTTGGTAAGATTGACACAATTTACCCATTTGGCTAATGAATATGCTTCATTAATGTGCAGTATATTATGGGGGAGCAGTTCCCCTCTCACCGTCTGTATTTCATTTGACAGACA